TTCTTTACCTTGTTTAGCTTGTATCGAGGTCGGTTTTGGATGAAAAAGTTCATTATTGATATCATCTGGATCACTTATATCGTCGTCGCATTGCTCATTAGGACAAACTTCCGAACATTTTTCAACAAACGGTACACATTTTCGATTATTATCAACATTCCGGCAATGACTGATTAATAAACTTTCTCTAAAACAGATTTTATCCAACGCATCTTCATCGAAATTTAAGACAATAATATTTTTAACATCAAATCGTGGCGGTTTAGTATTCATTTTATTTGAATTTTGATTAAATTATAAGGAAAATATCATTATGACTAGGTTTTAATTATAATATCTGTTTAAAATTATGGAAAGATTGTGACATTTCGTTGCTATGGATCTTTTCATTTGATGGCATCGTTTTGTTTTGTCAATACAATATGTGAGCGTTTTGTATAAGTTTCTAAATCCTTTTTATTTCATTACTTTAAATTTTTTCAGTATAAGAATAGGTAAGAAGGCACTGCAAATAAAGAAAATCAAATTAAAGGCTACGTGCAATCGTTGCAGAAGCAAATCATTTATTTTATCATTGATTACATATGAAATAAATCCTATTAGATTCTGGTGTTTCAACATGGCTTCAATAACTGCAAAGCAATGTCCGCCGTGCCAGGCAAGAGCCGGACACAGTGAGGTAAATGAATATTTTATATGTAATATGTATTTACATCAAATTTTTGCAATATTTTCTGCTGTTTTTTTGTAAATATTTATGAGAGGCAAAAATAAAACGTTTTTGACAATGTTATTGCTACATAACATTGGAGACTTTGGAAGGGATCTTCTTTAACCCGCGATTCTGTTTAGTACTAATTCAAACCCAAATAAGATGATTAAAATTAAATAAGTATGTTATTATTGTATAAAAATAGACAGCATTAGAGATTGACCTGTTTAAATTATGCACAAATTGCTAATTATATATAAAATAATAGCAGCAAACAATGCCTCCTTGCATAGAACTATTTTCTGTTAAGGCGCTACAAATCTATAAATCTATAGATCCATATATGGATACCCAAATAGATAAAATTCGTTTATATTATACTTTAAATACAGCATTAATTGGTTTTACGTAACTGTTATTATGCGTTCGATATAATAACTATAATGTGAATTGATTATTTAATCTATTATGTAATATTACATTTAAGAATTCCAAAAACTCAATTTAATTATCGTTTTCCTTCAGATCAACTATGACCAATCAGAAATAGAGCCTATAACCGACTGCTCTCCGGCTGTACCAGGAGACGAATTAACGGTAAACCGGAATCAGCGTGGTATTGACCCTTGCCCCCAGGTTAAAGCGGATGGCATGGCCCTTGATGGCACTGCAGTAGGAGCCCCAAAACGAGATGAGAGAGCATGCTACATGCCGAAAGCAGACGATTATATGCCCGCTAAAAAGGACCATGCTATGGGACCTATCGGTATAATTTGATCGAGCACTTTCCTAAATCGCCGTAGTAAAATATACTTTGGAACCAGAAAAAATCTTGCACTGTTTATAAACTTCAAACCTCTTCTGATTTTCTAGGTCCTTGGGCTACTGGTAGGGTAGATTGGGGTCCTTTGGCGGGAATGACCGGAACTCGTCCAATTGTGGATCAGTATTCCATCACAAGATATAGCGAAGGCGAATGGCGTCGACATAACAAAGATCTTTTAAATAAAGGAGATAGTGCAATGCAGGAAACATACAGGTGACAGTCTTATGATAAAATATTTTCCATGACAAAAAAAATGAAATTATTAAATCTTATGTGTTCCAGAAATTCGTATAACTCGAAAAATGCTATGTCCGAAATCTTTGCTATTGCTGACAAAAATGCAGCTGATAACGCCAATAGAATGGTGAATCGAACTCAAGAATTAAACAGGTAAAAAATAAATATAATAATATGTATATTTTGTCTTATCTTTATATAGACAGCACAATTAAGTTAATTTAATAATACAATCTATTATTAGATGGAAAACAGAATTGGAACGAGCAATATTTGCAATGAGTGAAGAAGTACAAGTACTAGAAGAGCAGAGACGAAGGCTGAAAGGTGCTGGATCTGTACTTAAAATACCAGAATCTATTGGTATGATAAAAATATCAACTACTTTTTCATGCAGATACCCAATCAAAATATATGATATATAAATTATAAACTGGGCACTTAATTTATCACAGTATCAGAATGTATCGAGCGGAGATCCGGGCGCATGGAACCAGATTTGGTCCGCGATAACGTTGAAGAGGAATTAATTCGAGAATTAGCTTTGATAAAAGAAATCAATGACTTATTTGAAAGAACTTTGAAAGATGTCGAAATGCAATTAGTAGCTAATAAAACTGCCAAAGCGCGACTCGAGTGCGATTGGAGCGATAAACAACAATCTTTTGAAATTGATACTTTGAATTGTAGTCTCACTATTAAAAGTAACATCATACTGTTTAAGCCAGGTGCGACCAGACTTGGACCACAGTGAGTTCTCATATAAATATAAATTGAGCTTTTTATAAAAAAAATATATACCTTTATTCCATTTGTGTTTTTTAGACAATCAACTTTAGAGCACTGGGAGCATTTCACAAGAGAGACCCTAAATGAAGGAGAAGCAGTTCGACAGCAATCAGTAACTTTACGAGGTACACTTGACGCAATTTTGATGAATGCTGCTCGAGATCTTAGGGAGCAAGCAGATCGAGTTGATCTAGCCTTCGCCGAACGTATCAACTGTAATGAAGAATTTCGTTTGAGATTGGAAAATGATTTGAAAACAGTAAGCACAAAATTGATTTCAAAATGTTTCAGGACTTAACTAATACTGATAATTAACAGCAAACTTCAAATATTAGGTTGTCAAATATCTCCCTTCCGCTTTTTTGCTCTTGGTTTATGATACAAAAAGGCGGAAGAGAGATATTTGACAACCTTATATGAAGAGGATGTTAAAAAATAATTGTTGTTTTAGTGTTTAGATCGGTTAGCAAGTACAGAAACTTTAATAGAGTGCTTAAAAGATAGTTTGAGAAGAAATGATAACGCAATGAAAGTTGCTCAAACTCGATTGGATAATAGGTTGCAAAGACCGCGTGTTGAAAATTGTCGAGATGGACCATGTTTTGGGTAAAAATTAATATTTACAAACATTTGAAAAAAATCTAATCATCATCATCAATTGCAAGCAATTGTTAAGAGTACTATAAAATTCTGTATTATTTGATTTACAGCCTTATAGATGAAGTGAAATCGCTAGCAGATGGTGTAACAGCACTTAAAGTTCAATTGGCGGAAGCAGAGAAATGCAAAGCGGAAGCACTTTTGGCCAGAAGTAACTATGAGCGGGAAATAATGATAAAAAGAAAAACTTTACAAATTGATCGGGACAGGTGCCAATGGATGAGATCTCATTATCCGTCCGCAGCAGCTTTGAGCGGACATTAAATCAAATTTGATGTACCAAAGATTAGTTGACACAAAATAGCTGATTATGTTGAATACCAAGAATTTGTAGTAAGCTTCAATTTTGTACTTTTAATAAAGAATTGAATAATAACTATTATTTTATTTACATATTATCTTCATATATTATAATAATTTTAAGGGCGGGGGCTTTAGAGGCTTTAAAAAATCGATTTTTTTGTTACAAAAATGTCTTCTAAACCTAGAAAAGAATATATGTCCCTAAAATTTCAGAAACAAATTATATTTTTTTGGAGTTACAGAAGAAACAGTCAGCGTCAAGCATATATACGAGCGGAACAAAAACTTCTAGCTGCGGTTTCTGGGTTTTTAATTTTACATTCTTTCAAATTGGCGGGAAAGATAGAAGAAGAACTAAACTTCCTATCGAAGTCGAGACCGAGATCGAAGCGAGATAAAATTCATTGTATTCAGGATAAAATTATATTCTAGTTGAATCTAAAAAAAACTAAAAAAAAACTGAATCTAAAGAAGTTATAATTAACCCACTTTTTAGACAATCTAAAGTGAAATTTTGTATCAAAAGCATGATTTTTTTTCAAGTTGCGAAAAATTGGTAAATTCTTCATTTTTTTCTGTATTTATTAGGTTCAACTAGAATCTACACTATTGAAAATATATATTTGTTTTGATTTTTTTATTTCTGATGGAAATTGTGACCTAGGTCGCAGCTGCATCTTTCCCGCCAAATGACACGCACGTGGCGCATGGCAAAATGCTTGTAACCGACATATTATGATATATATTTTGATAAAAAAAAATTGAGAAGAATGTTAAAATATATAACAATAAAACTTAAAAGATTCGTTTCAATTAAATATTTATTTCCTTCCCTAAAAATTCCTCAAAAAAGCGAGTTTTTGAAGCCTGTAAAGCATGCCTTAATAAAGATAATCTATAGATTTTATAAAATTGAAGCTGTTTATGTTTTTTTTATATTTTATAATTTTACAAAGAAGAAGAATATAATTTCGTCAGAATTATTTTCAATTAATGTTAATCTTCAAGATGCTTGTAAATCTAGATTAAAAACTACTCACGTTTATTATATAGTCAAAGTATCAATGACAAAGCCATACAAAGCATTATCAAGAAGGAGTAAAATCAAAGCAATATATCTACAATAGCCTCAAAATAGTTATTCAAACAATCTAAAAAATAGTATTTCATGTAAATGAAATACATCATAATAATATGATAATAGAAACAATAGGCCGAATTCTGCATAACAAAGAAATATCTTAAAACTGGGTTTCAATAAAAAATGAAAATAAAGATATGGAAAATAATGAACGATGACAGTATAAATAAATGTTACTAGTGTCTTACCTAAAAATTAATCGTATAAGTTGTTTAACTTAAATTTAATCACATTATTATCATATTACTATTAAAATCGTCTGTTTATTTTGCCGCGTTTTTTGTGTGGAGCATCTGCTTAAAATGTACCATAATCCTTTCTCTGGCAACACTAAATATTTAGGAAATGCTGGTCGAATGACACGATCGGTCATTCTAAAATCGCTCCCAGTGGCATTAATACGTAAGTAAAAATTCCGATCTTAAATCTTCTTACCAGAAATTAATCATGCGTTTATTCAAGTTATATTTTGTTTGAACGTGTTGACATTTTTGATCTGTGCTTATCGGCATGTGTATTTTTTAAATATGAAGTTTAATTTGATTGTAGTATTGAGGTTATCTTGGTGTTTTGCCATGTGTTTCTTAAAGACTACTTTCTTTAGGTTGCACCGTAGCTCTAAAGTGACGTTACAATGTCGGGAGGCTTGGATGTTCTTGCCCTACGGGAAGATGATGTTACCAAAATGTTAGCCGCATGCACCCATCTTGGCAGCGAAAATGTGAACTTCCAGGTACAATACATCACAATACAATATTCTAATTAAGTTAAATTCATTAAAAACTAATTTATAAAGCCTTCGATTCATGTAGATGGAGCAATATGTGTACAAACGCCGTGCTGATGGAGTACATGTAATCAACTTACGTCGCACATGGGAGAAGCTTTTGTTGGCTGCTCGTGCTATTGTTGCTATTGAGCATCCAGCTGATGTCTTCGTTATTTCCTCCAGACCTCAAGGACAACGTGCAGTATTGAAGTTCGCCAACTATACTGGTGCTACTCCAATTGCTGGACGTTTCACTCCTGGTGCCTTCACTAATCAGGTAAAAAATTTTTAATAATTTTTGTATTCGATAATTGAACATTCTGATTTAAAATCTGCTTATTGAATTATATGTATATTTAATGTTTTAGATTCAAGCTGCATTCCGTGAACCACGTTTGCTGATTGTTACTGATCCTCACTCCGATCACCAACCCATCACTGAGGCTTCATATGTGAACATTCCTGTTATTGCATTCACCAACACTGATTCTCCATTGAAATTTGTTGATATTGCAATTCCATGCAACACCAAGGTGAGAATTTTATTCCTAAATGTTTGTTTTTAGTTCCCAATGATGATAAATTGGATCCAATTTATTAAAGATAATGATTACAAATATTTACACTGAAAATATTGAATGTCAATAAAAAATAAATTAAGTTATTGCTCATCACTAATAAAAATATTTTTTTTTAGTCCAACCATTCCGTTGGTTTGATGTGGTGGTTGTTGTCCAGAGAAGTCTTGAGACTTCGTGGATCCATTCCCCGTGAGAAGACTTGGGATGTTGTAGTTGATTTGTTCTTCTACCGTGATCCAGAGGAAGTAGAGAAGGAGGATCTGGTTCACAAGGAAGTTGTGGCCAAAGTTGAGGTAGATTATAGAATTAATGTTTTACATATTACTTTAAATTATGAGATTTTTTGCCCACAATTATTACTAAAATGATGACATCTACTAAGGAACCTATGATTGTTCAGAGATTATAACTTAACTCGTCTGATTCTCACAACTACTAAACATTTTAATTCATATCATACTTGAAATTATATTTACCATGCATTTTTTAACAGACTGCTGTTGCTCATGATACTGCTGAAGTATGGGCGGGAGATGAGCCAGCCACTCAATTATGGACTGATGATGCACCTGTTGCTGCAGTTCCGGCTGTTTACCCAGCTGCTGCCAGCCAAGATTGGGCCGAGCAAGTGCAAGAAGAATGGGCTGCCAACCCTACCCCAGCTGCTGGTCAAACTACTTGGGGAAGCTCCACACAAGAATGGTCATAAATCAAATGATACTTTTTGTATTGGATAAATGAAATAAATAAAAATTAAAATAAATCAGTTTTTAATATATGAAACTGAATGACTCATTTTCAGGAAATACTTATTTCAACTTAGCCCAATTAAACTTCTACATAATTCATAGCAGCTCTCACATTCCTGATATTTTTTATGGATGAATGCACACTAAAAAAAAACTTAATTACAAATGTCATAAAAATGTGCATAATTAATATTTAAACAATTCTCAAATTCTACCATACATTCTTGTTTTATATAATAAAATTTTATATGATAAAATCGATAACTGATAAAAATTAGTTTTCTCACATGGCAATAAATCATGTAACATAACCTAAAAAGTGAAGGCAGGCCCTCCACTGACAGCTATTTGTTTTTATCTTAAATTTGCTTTTAATGTAATAAAATATATAAAATGATTCGTTCTAAAAGATGCATCCAAAGCAGAGGTATGTTTTTAACTTACTCATAAAATTCTGAAGCTTATAATATATATTCCTACATTAGCTTTGTTTCAATTAACCGCCGGTGTACGTATGCATTCTTCAAAACCGAGCCCTGATTCCAAACCAGTGAGCCCCAGAATTGAGGAATTTAGAAAAAAATTAAGAGAAAAGACTCCTATTGGAAAACTTGATGAACTTGATAAACATCCTTACCAGGAAAAAGAGCCACTACCCCCATGGCCTGATAATACAAATCCACACACAGGTAATTTTCATAATTTTAATATTCTTTCTTGTTAGTTATGTATATTGAAGAATTATTTAAAAACAGGTGAAATTGGTGGACCTCGCGGCCCAGAGCCTACACGTTATGGGGATTGGGAAAGAAAAGGAAAAGTTTCTGATTTTTAGATCAAATACTTGAAATATATCTTGCAAATTATTTATTACCATAGTATTATTATATATTATTGTTATTTGAATATTTCAATAATCAGGCAATTCTTGATCACCCATTTTTTCTCTTATCATTTTGATGCTGAGGTCCCATAGTTCTTTGGCTAGAGTATCACTTTGGCCTAATTTTGAAGTTTCACAATAATAGCAATTGTTAAGATAAATTCCTGAAACACCTTCAAGCTCTAATGCGGTTGCTGCATATACTGTCGTGCTTGCTGCTTGTTGCTGTAATTTGTTTATATAACATATAGAGAAATTTCATATATATACTAATGTTATCATGATGATGATACTTCATATTTTATATACTATAATTTAATTTATAGTTTAATTTCATATTTGACTTTTACTGTTATTTTTCTCTGATAAGAAATTAATTACTCTAATAGACCAAAATTCATACCAAAGATTTTGTGAAGGGGCGAACAAGAGCAAATAGAATTCTCATTAGCCACCAATTTCTCTGTATATTTGTTGATACCATATTTCCTGGATGAACTGAAAACACTGATATACCATGATTTGCCCACCATCTTTTTGATAGCTCTCTCACAAATAAAACATTGCACAGTTTTGCATTATTATAAGCCATCATTGACCAATACTTTTGCATGGGCACTGACAATAAATCTGGAGTAAGATTATCTTTGGGAAAATTTGCAAATCTGAAATAGATTGTGATGTTCTTAACTATTTCTGCCATATTCTCTTTTCGATACTCTTTAGTAATTTAGTACAATTAACCTATGTGATTCGGATGACAAAGACACTACTCGACTGCCTTTTTTTAATAGTGGTGCCAATAAAAGTGTTAAATACATGTGTGACAAGTGGGAAACTTGGAATGTTGTTTCAAAACCATCTACTGTAGTTGAATAAGGTAAGCCAAAAACACCAGCATTCAATATAAGCATGTCAACTTTTCTAAAATGGAGTTTTACAAATATTTATTATATAATTTGGAAGCTAATCATTTGAATTTTTTATGTAAATATTTACTTTAACTCATCCAAACATTGTAAAGCAAATGCTTTCACATTTTCCAAGCTTGATAGATCAAGTTCCATTACACGACACCTATTCGCAGCATCAGGTTTTTCTTTCCTAATCTTTTCAATAGCCTCTAATCCTGAATTTAGATTTCGGCAAGCCATAATCACATTACAACCATGTTTTGCTTGAGTTAAGGCAGTTTCATAGCCAATTCCACAATTGGCTCCTGTTATAATTGCAATTTTATTTGACAGATCTCGACCATGTAATACCTGAAATAGTTTAAGAGATCTTGAAATACTATTATAATCATTTTAGAATTATAAAAGAAATTTGGCTTTGTGTTTACTTGTAAAGCAGTTGTTGAGGCATCAAATCTTTGTCTGATATCATGAGGGTGTGTTTTTTCTTCTACTGCAAATGCTAACCTTGGATCAGTATATGTTGTGCGATTATTTTCTTTATCAAAATATGAAACTTTTCCTTCGGAATCAACTTGTTTTATCCAACCAAAGGCAATTCACCTGAGACTACTTTCTTTTTGCCTGTTCTAGGGTGAGTCCACTGGGTTCCTTTAGTGATATGGCTATTAAATTAATTAATAAGTTATTAATATTTTTTTCTTGTTAAATTAAAATCTGGTTGGTATTTACTTCACATAAAAAACTGCCATCAGCAGTGGCTCTTTCCTCCCATGCTGGTGGTAATTCATCTTCGCTGTCAGAGTCAGGCAAAATAATAGGCATTTTGTCAAACTATTGTATGAATTATATTTAATTATGCTCAATAAATAGTTACATATCTAAATCTGACATATCAATATCCACAAAATTATGGTATCAATAAATGCTTTATATCTAATCAGTGAATTCAAATTGATAAATATGTGCCAGTATTTCGAATACTTTGTACAATACTGCGAACGTGACTAGAGATAATTCTGTATTATTATGCAACTTTTTATTGTTTGTTTAAAATTAAAGTTTAAGGACGATTTGATCTGTCGAATTGTCAACTGTCACTTTGACGTTTGTTTGTTTTGACGTTCACCGATCAGTGATACCAATATTAATTCAAAAATTGTTTTGGCTAGGGAGGGAAAGGATGCCGAATTTTAATTTCGATATGTAAATTTAAAAAAATAATGTTTCATGGAAATTTGATGTGAATACAGTTTTATTTAGTTTATTTTAACAATATAGTTTCGTTTAATTGTGTAGTTCTTTTGCATGTTTTCCCATTTTTTGCAATTTGTTAATAACTTTTGTTAATGAAGTAAAACTGTTTTTACTCCAGTCAGTTATATTGGGTAAAATTCAAATTTAATTATTTAAGAAAATTTTAATTTAATAAACATATGTTAGTTATTGATGAATATATTCTTCATCATTATGTTGCTGATGGTTACATTGCATTTAGAAAAATATTTTTTGTTGGCAATTTGTGTTTGTTTTTTCAATATGGCAGTTTGATAGTTTAACGACAAAACAAACAAACGTCAAACTGACATTGACAGATCAAATTGTTCTTTTGTTAGTTAATAATTGTTTTTTATTTGAACATTAAAATGAAACTTCAAAAATAATTAAATAATTTAAAAACGTTTAGTTATTCCATTCTAATAGTTTAGACACAATTGGTGTGGTTGTTGTTGTCGTATAAAGAAATAATTTTATTTGTAACGCTCACAAAACTCATTGATAAGTAATAAGTAGAAAAATTATATGAAAATGATGTTTGAGAAATATTAGTTGTAACATTTTAAACAGAAATTGAATTAATTGTAAGTCAATTTTTAAAATGTAATAATAGTTTATCAAATTAAACATAATTCAATCGAATTCTATGCAATTTTTACAGATATTATAATAATATACTGATATTAACTACGTTCAAAAATAATCATTAAATGGAATTAATTCATCTATACAAATAATCTTCAAGAGGCAAAAATAATGGAAAAATACATCTTATACGCCGACGATATTGTAATAGAACAAAATACTAGATGAAAATGATTAACAAGGACATTATATTTGGATGGCTAATTGAAAATAAATTAACGATTAACATTGGAAGAACTAAGTACATACATTTTAAACAAAAAAGTAAGAAAATTACTAAAATAAACATTAAAATAAATAATACAGAGATAGAAGAAGTGAAATACATGAAATACTTGGACCTTATAATACATGAAAAGCTAACATGGATAGAACATATAAATGAAATTAAAAAGAAAGAGCGGCATTAAATAAGGTGCTATTT